TTTTTTTTGGTCAGTTGTGGGGCTTTAACTCTGGGCCTGGATCTTAAGGACTTTCCTGCTGGGGCTGGCTTTGAACCTCAATCCTCAGATCTCAGCTACTGAATACCTAGGATTACAGGCATGGGCCACTGGTGCCTGGCTTTACCATGTATTTACAAATTATCCACACTTATTTTTCTTCTTTGCTTCTCCATGTATATCATTGTGTATATGTATGTATGTGTGTATATACATATATATATGCAAATATATATGCTCATGAAATCCAAGGTCTAGAGTTTAAATATAAGTAAAAACAACAGCATTTTGATTGTTTGAGCTTGATTTGCCTTACTCAGTATGTTTCTTCCAATTGCATGTATTTTCTTGCAAATACATGATTTCTTTTTTCTTTTTCTTCTTTTGGAGGAAGTTATGAATTTGTATTAAATTAAAATGTAGATTTCCCTGAAGCCCTGCCACCCTCATTTTTCTTTGTCTGTGTAATATTCCACAGCACATCTTCTTTAGCCATTCATGCATTGTTGGTTATCTCAGATAATTCTATTTTTGCATTTTACTATCTATTGTGAGCAATGCTGCAATAAACATAGATATGCAGGTTCTTCCTGGTATATTAATTTATCCTGGTATATTAATGTATCCTTCAGATACATGTCTGATAGAGGTAAGGTGTAATCATAAGGAAGGTCTTTTTTTTTTTTTTTGGTTGGTTGGTTGTGGGGCTTGCACTCAGGGCCTGGGTGCTGACCCTGAGCCTCTTGTGCTCAAGGCTAGTGCTCTACCCTTTGAGCCACAGTGCCACTTCTGGTTTATGAATGGCTAATAGGAGATAAGAGTCTCACGGAGACTGTTCTGCTTGGGCTGGCTTCAAACTGTGATCCCTGGTAGCTAGGATTACAGGCATGAGCCATCAGCACTGCTGGAAGGTTTTTTTTTTTTTTTTTTTTACTTTTTCTTTGGACAACCTTCTTACTGATTTCCATGTGGTTGTATTAGTTTACATTCCCACCAGCAGTATATGAGGGTTCCTTTTTCCTCTGCATCTCACCAGCATTTGTTGTTATTTTCTTGATGGATGTCCTTCTCATTGGGGTGCAGTGGAGTCTTAGTGTGGTTTTTCTTTGCATTCAAGTGTCTGTTGGCCATTTGTATTTTTTCTGAGAACTACTTGTTCAGTTTGCTTGCCTATTTATTAATTGGATTATTCTCTAATGTTCACATTTTTGAGTTCTTTGTGTATTCTGGATATTAATATTTTATTTATTGAATACTGAACTCACTGATTATTAATGAAATGGGGAACAATAGTATCTGCTTTATGAGAGTTCTGGGATAGTTCATGAAATTAGACTATTGTAACCTCTCCTGCTGAAGTGTTTAAAATGTTAGCAACCATTAGAATAGTTCTTATAATAATGGAAACAAAATCCTTGAGCAAGTTACCAAAGGAAAAGTAGACCTAGGCAGATGGGGGCAAGCACTTTGGAGTTGGTATCAGATGAGCTGGGCCTTGAAGCCTGGTTAAAATATAATAAAGCATCAACCTGTATTGGTTTCTGTGAAAGAGTTATCTTCATTAAATCATTTTCTTTCTCCCTAGGCAATGAGAAGCACGATCTTTATGTTATCCCGCAGCAGGGAAGCCTTGAACCAGTTGTCCAAGACCTGGCCCAGGTTGTTGAAGAGGCCACAGGTGTTCCACAGCCTTTTCAGAAGCTTATATTTAAGGGTAGGTATTTCTCTCTCTCAGCTTGGACCCTGTGGTTAGTGCTTACCCATACCTAATCGTAACTCTCAGATTTCAAATTGGAACCATTTTAGTTTTGTTCATTTATTCTTTTAGCAAAAGTTTTATTAAGGATTTACTATGTACTAGACTCAGACATCTGAACAAGTGCCAGATTTGAAGTGACATAAAGATGGCAGAAATCTGACCATTTGCTTCATTAAACCAAATTTATAGGGGCCTGGTTCTAAGGGTCCACTAGGCAATGCTTATTAGCGCTAGAACCTACCTCCTCTCCACCCCTGTTCTCTGCCCTCCCTCATACGCACCCATTATTCTTACCTGCTAGATTTATCTCATTGGGTGACAGTCATTATCAGGAACTTAGTAATAGGAAGCATTTTTGTTTATATTTCACAATACAACTCCTTTTTTCTTCTTGAAACATTTCTAAATTACACAAGTAATGGAATTTGATATTTCAAGTCTGGACATGATTGTGTACCCCTGTATCCCAGGTACTCTAGAGACAAACTCAAGTTTCATGCAAAACTAGGCAATGTAGTGAGTCCCTGTATCAAAAGCAAAAAACAAAAAACAATCAAGGTGTGGCAGGTTTAGGTTTATAATCTCAACTACTTTGGAGGCCGAGATTGTAAGGATTGCAGTTTGAGGCCAGCCTGGGAAAAACATTAGTGAGTTTTCACATCTCAATCAATAAGCTAGTAGTGGTGGTACAAGCCTGTCATCTCAGCCGCAGGCTTGAGGATCTTTGTACATGGCCAATCTAGCAGAAAAACTTGAGAGATATCTGAAGAATAAAGCTAAAAGGGTTGGGGACATGATTAAAATAGTAGATCATCTGCCTTTCAAGCATGAAGTCCTGAGTTTAAACTCCAGTACTACCAAAAGAAAACAAATATTTCCTAAAATGGCTATACAAATTTATGCTCTTTTCATTAATGATTACAATTATACATTTGCTGAGGTCTGCTCTCACCTTCCCTCCCTCTCTCCCTCCCTTTTCTCTTTCTCTTCCCTCCCTCCCATCTTCCTTACCTCTTCTTTCTCCTCCTCTTCCTCCTTCCTCCCTTCCTCTCGCTCTCTCTCAAGTCAATTTCAGTGTTATGCAGTTGCTATAACTTGACATAGTTTTCTCCTCTTTGCAGGGAAATCTTTGAAGGAAATGGGCTCACCTTTGTCAGCACTTGGAATACAAAATGGTTGCCGGGTTATGTTAATTGGGGAAAAGGTAAATCACGTTTTCTACCAGTATTGGTCAGAATCAAGTGACTAAAGTCTTTTACATTCATTTCCATTTAGAGGACCAAGTTTGACTTGCCTGTGTGTGTGTGTGTGTGTGTGTGTGAAAGAGAGAGAGAGAGAGAAAGAGAGAGAGAGAATCTTTAACTCTGCTTAGGTACTCTCACTGAGCTTTTTTGTTGAAGGCTAAGGCTATACCCTTGAGCCACAACTCCACTTCTGGCTTTTTGCTGGTTAATTGACGAGTTTCATAGCAAGTGTGGGCTGTCTTTGAACAGTGATCCTGAAATCTCAGCCTTTTGAGTACTTTTTTTTTGCCAATTGTGGGGCTTGAACTCTGGACCTAGGTGCTGTTCCTGAATCTCAGCCTTTTGAGTAGCTAGGATTACATGGTATCCAACAACAGGCCTTTTTTATACAATTTGATTGAATTATCAGGTTTTTTGTCCTGATTTTTATACCTTCTTGAACCTATTGATTTAGTATTTGGACTTTTGCTGTAGGAATTAGGGGCAGTATCACTATCTTAACATGGCTTTTGATTGTCAGGCTGATTAAAATGGTGCCTGGAACAGGCACTCCTTATTTGGAGTGGAATTTGCAAGAGTCTTTTGGTTAAAATGAACATGTAGATATTAAAAATAAGACTCACGCTGGGTGCCAGTGGCTCATGCCTGTAATCCTAGCTACTCAGGAGGCTGAACTCTGAGGATCACATTTCAAAGCCAGCATGGGTAGGAAAGCCTGTGAGACTTTGATCTCCAGTAACTACAAAAAAAATCCAGCAGTAGGGGCTGGGAAGGTGTCTCAGTGGTAGAGCGCTTGCCTTGCATGCTCAAGGCCCTGGGTTCGATTCCTCAGCACCACATAAGCAAAAAGAAAAAAAAGTGGTAGAGCGCTAGCCTTGAGCTGAAGAGGTGAGGGACAGCGCCCAGGCCCAGAGTTCAGGCCCCACAACCGGACCCAAAAAAAAAAAAAAATCCAGCAGTAGAGATGTGGCTCCAATGCAAGGGGATTGCAATTTGAAGCCATCTCAGTAAGAACAGTCTGTTATTTTACCTTCAGAACAAGCAACAACAAGCAAATCTGGAGGCATGGTTGAAGTGGTAAAGTGCTAGCCAAGCAAACAAGCAAAGAAAATTCAAGGCCTTGAGCTATAAACCTGGTACCAGAAAGCAACAATAACAACAACAACAACAAAAAAAAAACAACCAAACTGAGTTGGGGAAAGTCATCTGGTGGCAGTTGAGGCAGTGGCCCCCTGAGGTGATGAGAGAGGGCTATGGCCAGCTCTTCACTGTGATACAGTGGAATTTTTTTTTTTTTGGTGGGCCATGGGACCTGAACTCTGGGCCTGGACGCTGTCCCAGGCTAGTGCTCTGCCACTTGAGCCACAGCACCACTTTGGGCTTCTTCTGCTTATGTATTGCTGAGGAATCGAACCCAGGGCTTCACACATGCAAGGCAAGCACTTTACCACTGAGCCACCTTCCCAGAACATGACACAGTGGAATTTTTGAGCATATGAAGTTGCCTTGAGGTGACTAAGTAGAGATATGACAGAGATTAGCAAAATGGAACCAAACAAATCCAATCTAGACTTGGAACTACCAGAGATTGGAGCTTAGCTTGATTTGGCCACAAAGAGGCATGAATAATAGGGAATAGTATACAAACCAGGAAGCTGCTGGCCTTGGCTACCAGTTGTTCAGATGAAAGAAAGGTAAATATTCTAAATCTCATGGGATGGGGTGTGACTCAAGTGATTAGAGTTTCTCCCTATTAAGTATGAGGCCCTGAATTCAAACTTCAGTACTGTTCTCTTTTTCTTCCCATCAAAAACCCATGGGTTGCCGGGTGCTGGTGGCTCACACCTGTAATCCTAGCTACTCAGGAGGCTGAGATCTGAGGATCGCAGTTCAAAGCCAGCCCGGGCAGGAGAGACCGTGAGACTCCTATCTCCAATAAACCACCATAAAACAAGAAGTGGCGCTGTAGCTCAAGTGGTAGAGTGCTCGCCTTGAACTGAGGGACAGCGCCCAGGCCCAGAGTTCAAGTCCCACGACCGACCAAAAAAAAAAAAAAACCCATGGGTTGAGTCTTTAAAAAAAATGTGTGGACCTCCAGTTGGAACTGTCTCTGAATTCAAGTCTGTTCTATCTCATTTGGGTTGTATGACCTTAGGTCACTTTACTATATTAAGTCTCAGTTTCATTATCTGTAAGCAATACAGGTAACATGCTTAAGATAGTGCCTGACATGTAAGGCTAATAAACACTAATCATCATCACATTTATGGTTATATGTCATTGTTATTGTCATATTAAATAGGACAACATTTAGGAATTCCATTTAAAGGAATAGTTGTATTGGGCATATCTATAATTCCAGCTGAGGCTGAAGTGTGAAAGGAATGAAAATTTGAACAAGGCCAACCTGGATTACATAGTGAGATCCTGTCTTAGAAAAATTAAACCAAATCAAAACCAAGGAATAGTTAAATTCAGTCTGTGGCCTTCAGTCTGGCTGTTGATCAGCACACAGCTGAGGTTAGATTTGCTTCATTTTCTCAACCCAAGTTGTTAGTACTTAGTAGACTATTTCCCTAACATCTTTCTTCTCTGTAGACTAGAATCTTTGTAGCTACAAAACCTCTTTGTATAATCCTTTGACTTGCTTTCTAAGAAGCAGGAGAGTTAAATCCATTCTTCCTAGGTGAATGGTTTAACACAATTCTGGTCATAGTCTCAATAGAGGCCAAATAGTTACAGTTCTTGGTGACTATTGGCTTCATTTTATTTTTCTTCTTAGAATAACCCAGAAGAACAGGCTGAACTAAAGAAGTTGAAACATTTGGAGAAGTCTGTGGAGAAGATAGCTGATCACCTGGAAGAGTTGAATAAAGAATTTACTGGAATCCAGCAGGTAACTTCTTCCTTCATGAACTTTGACTTTCCACTGCCTGTAAGAATTTTGTGGATATGATGTTTGGTTATGTTGGCAGGCTCTGCAGTCAGACTCCCTCAGTTAGGATTCTGACTCCACCTTTTTCTTTTTAATGCTGTGCTGGATATATCATCCAGGACCTCATGAATGCTCTACTTTTTACCACTGCAAGCAACATCCTCAGCCCGTTACCTTTCTCTTATTATGGTCAAGTTTATCTTTGTCTCAAGTTCCTCATCAACCAAAAAGAATAATAGTGTCTCCCTGTAAGGACTGCTATGAGAGTGTTTTCTAAGGACTTTGTCAGTCAGCATCCATTTATGTTCATAGTGGAGTACCTACATGTTAGGATCATGTGTGAACAGGTGGACTTCTCACAGTCCAAGTATGATTTTTAGCAAAGCAAAAAAATAAATAAATAAAATTGTTTTTCAGTTCTTGGAGTTGAACCTTGGACCTAGAGTATGGTAGGCAAGTGTTTCACATAGATCTACAACCCTAGCCCAGTGAAGAACATTTTGTTGATTCATAGAAGAGTCCAGGTTTAGTTTGATCTTGGTAACATGGGAATTATTCTATTTAATTCTTATTAGAGATGAAAACCAGTAAAGATTAGGAATAGCCCAAGACCAACTATTTCCCCTTTCATTTTATAACACTATTGAGTATACCTTTGTGCTTTAATTATAAGAGTAATGAATGTATAGGCTGGGCATGTGGCTCACACCTATAATCCTAGCTACTTCAAAGGTGGAGATCAAGATTATGATTGGAGAATCGCGTAGGGAAAAAAGATGGAGTTAGCAAGACTCCCATTTCAGCTGTGTATGGTAGTGTGCATTTATCATTCCAGCTACACAGGAAGTGTAAATAGGAAGACGGTGTTTAGCCCATCTTGGGCAAAAATGCTCTTTACTATTTGGGATAGGTAAAGACCCTATTCTTCTGGGTGCCAGTGGCTCATGCCTAGCTACTCAGGAGGCTGAGAGCTGAGAACTGAGGCTTGAAGCTAGACCAGGCAATAAATCTGAGAGACTATTATCTCCAGTTAACTAAATTGGAAGTTGTGTGGCTCAAGTAGTAGAGCACTAGCCTTAAGCAAAAAAGCCAAGCAAGAGTATGAGGCTGTGAGTTCAAGTCCCAGTACTCCTCTTCCCTCCAAAAAAAGGACTATTCTAACAAGGGCTAGGAGTTATGGTTGAAGTGATAGAGCACTCACCTACCTGCCCAGCAAATGGAAGGCCCTGAGCTAATCCTTCAATACCAGAAAAATAATAAATAGTAATAATATGTAATGTAGTATGAAAGTTTTTAAAACATGTATAGGTACTAATACGGAAAATAAAATTGACTTATAAAAAGCACTATCCAGTATCTGGCTGTTAGGATTCAAGCCCAGACCTTGAGACCTTAATGTCTGTGCTTTTAATATGTCTCTTAATGTATAGTATAGACACTTTGACTCAGAGATGACCATTATGAAAGTCTGAAATATATTTTCATTTTTAACTAAAATGCTGTTATGTGTACTTTGTAAGTTGTTCTTTTATTAGCCAGCAAATTGAACAATTTCTATGTCATTGAGAATGTGTGTATGTATATGGTGTGTGTGTGTGTGTGTGTGTGTGTGTGTGTTTGTGCCAGACCTGGGGCTTAAACTCAGCCTGAGGGCTGTCCCTGAGCTTTTTTTTGCTCAAGGCTAGCAGCTCCACTTTCAGCCTTTTGGGGTTAATTGGCAATAAGAGGTTTGCAGATTTTTTTACTGCTGTCAGTTAGCTGGTCATTAGTTAAGGCAATGTGAATGAACAACCAGAAAGTTTAATAGTAAAAGCAAGCACTGCTTCCCATTCAGTAGTATATGCCTGTGCTATGAGTTATGATAAGTATCTGTGTGTGCATGTGTGTGCGCGCGTGCACACACACATGCACGCACATTTTTTTTTTTGCCAGTCCCGAGGCTTGAAGTCAGGGCCTGAGCACTGCCCCTGAGCTTCTTTTTCCTCAAGGCTAACACCTCTGCCAGTTGAGTCATAGAGTCATAGTGCCACTTCTGACTTTTTCTGTTAATGTGGTACTAAGGAATCAAACCCAGGGCTTCATGTATGCTAGGCAAACACTACCACTAAGCCACATTCCCAGCCAAATAGCTACATATATTCCCCTTTTTCTCATAGTAACCTCTCTAGGTGTAGGTATCATAATCTCTTATATAAATACGAGGTTGCTGAAGCATGGGTAACTTACATAACTTGATCATCATCCACAATGTTCCTTAGATCTCAGCCTCCTTTAGTGACTATGATTATAGGTGTGAGTCATTGGTGCCTGTCTGAAAATATATTTTTCAAAGGTTACATATTTCATCATGTATAAATATAAAATGGTTGAACTTACTCTCTCTAGTCTTTGTCACCCAGTCTTTTTTCAAAAGTGCTGGGTCATGAGCATGCTAGGCAAGAGCTCTGCCACTGATCTACATTCCTAGTCCTTGTACTTTTGTTGTTGTTTTGAGATAATTGTCTCACTGTGTAGTACCCAGACTGACCTTAAACTCCTGATCCTCTTAGCCTCTCCAGTACTGAGATTGCAGGTGGCAACGCTACACTTAGATGAGCTCCTTTTCACTTTGAATTGGCACCACGTGGATGTCTACTGTCTTGGAGCCTTTTGTTTTGGTACTGATCCTGGAGCTTGAACTCAGGGCCTGGATGCTATCTCTGAGCTTTTTTGCTTAGGGCTGGCACTTAGTTGGAGATAAGAGTCTTATGGACTTCTGCCTGCCTGGCTCCAAACCTCAATCCTTAGATCTCAGCCTCCTGAGTAGCTAGGACTATAGATGTGAGCCACTGGCACTCAGTTGGAAGCCCCTCTTTGGAGACAGGGTCTTCCAATATTGCCCAAGCTGGCCTGAAACTCAAGGTCCTCCTACATTTACTTCCCAAATGCTAGGGATATACATGTCTGCTATTGTGCCTTGTTAGCCTAATAAAAATGTTTTATGATTATATGTAATGCTTCTTTGAATGTTCTTGAAAATAGATCCTTTAAAAAACTTTTTTGGTAGAATTGACTTAGAATAACTAGATACTGTTAGATGTTTTTGCTACATGTAGTCAAATATGCGTATATAACACTCAGCTGTGAAACATCTTCAGAGTTCCTCTTTGTTTGTTTGTTTGTTTGTCTTGGTGCTAGGGATCAAATGAGCTCAAGGCTTTACAGATATTTTGGCTTTCTAAACTTTTTTTTTCTACTGAGATTTGAACCCAGAGTCTCTTGCCTCCTTGGCTTTTTCACTCACAACTGGCACTCTACCACTTGAGCCAGCTTTGTGTGTGTGTGTGTGAACTGGCACTCTACCACTTGAGCCAGCTTTGTGTGTGTGTGTGTGTGTGTGTGTGAACTGGCACTCTACCACTTGAGCCAGCTTTGTGTGTGTGTGTGTGTGTGTGTGTGTGTGTGTGTGTACTGGCACTCTACCACTTGAGCCAGCTTTGTGTGTGTGTGTGTGTGTGTGTGTGTGTACTGGCACTCTACCACTTGAGCCAGCTTTGTGTGTGTGTGTGTGTGTGTGTGTGTTTCAGTCCAGCTCTTGAACTCAAGGTTTCTCACTCATTTTTTTTTTTGGGGGGTCCGGTCGTGGGGCCTGAACTCTGGGCCTGGGCGCTGTCCCTCAGCTTTTCAGCTCAAGGCTAGCGCTCTACCACTTGAGCCACAGCGCCACTTCCTGCTTTTTTTCTTTTTGCTTATGTGGTGCTGAGGAATCGAACCCAGGGCCTCAGGCATGCAAGGCAAGCGCTCTACCACTGAGCTACCTTCCTGGCCCCTAGGGCTTCTCACTCTTATGCTCAGCTTTCTTGTTCAGAGATGGCCATGCTTCCAAACCTCAGCCAGCTTTTTGCTGGGAGATAAAGTCATATGGACTTTGTGCATGGGCTGGCCTTGAACTTAGATCCTCTTAATCTTAGACTCCAGAGTAACTAGGATTGCAGGCTTGAGCAGCTGGTATGCAGCTGCTTTCTAACACATGCCATCAGTTGGCTGGTCATTAATGAAGGCAATGTAAATGAACAACAAGAAAATTTAATAGTAAGTGAGCGCTGCTGCTCATTTATTAGCATATGTCTATGCTATGAGTTATGTTAAGTATCTACATACCTTTTTTCTTCACAGTAACCCCTCTGGGTGTAGGTATCATAGTCTCTTCTATAAAGACGAGGTTGCTGAGGCTGGATAACATAAGTAACTTGTTCAAGAGCAAAAGTAGTAAGTGAAGATCAAGCCCAGATCTGTCAGAACTAAAGCCTTTTTTTCTTTTTCTTTTTTTGTCTGTTGTAGGTCTTGAACTCTGGGTCTGGGCACTGTCCCTTGGCTCTTTAGCTCAAGGCCAGTGCTCCTTTTTTCTTTTTAAATGGTGTTAAAGATCAAACCCAGGAGTTGGGCACTGATGCACATGCCTGTAATCTTAGCTACTCAGGAGGCTGAGATCTGAAGATCTCAGTTTAAAGCCAGCCTGGGCAGGAAAGTCCGTGAGACTTTTCTGTTGTTGTTGTTGGTCATAGGGCTTGAACTCTGGGCGTGAGCGCTGTCCCTCAGCTCTTCAGCTCAAGGCTGGCACTCTACCACTTGAGCTATAGCACCACTTCCGGTTTTCTGGTGGTTTATTGGAGATAAGAGTGTCACGGACTTTCCTGCCCTGGCTGGCTTTGAACCTTGATCCTCAGATGTCAGCCTCCTCTGAGTAGCTAGGATTATAGGCATGAGCCACCCTCGTCCGGCCATGAGACTCTTTTTTTGGGGGGTCTGGTCGTGGGGCCTGAACTCTGGGCCTGGGCGCTGTCCCTCAGCTCTTCAGCTCAAGGCTAGCACTCCACCACTTGAGCCACAGCGCCACTTCCAGCTTTTTTCTTTTTGCTTATGTGGTGCTGAGGAATTGAACCCAGGGCCTCGGGCATGCAAGGCAAGTGCTTTACCACTGAGCCACCTTCCCAGCCCCTGCCATGAGACTCTTATCTCCAGTTAACCACTAGAAAACCAGAAGATCGAACCAGGATCTCACACTTGCTAGGTCAAACACTCTGCCACTGTGCTACATTTCCCTAGCTTCTGCTCTTAATACTTATTTCTTGTGTGCAGGTATATACTTGGGACTAGGGGCTTCACTGGAGCCAGGCCTGAGGAAACATTTGAATGGCCAGGAGATCATGTGAGAGAATAGCCTGTAGCCTGGTAGAATTCTTTGATGGGTCTAAGGCCACCCTTTCCCTTTATCTTAAGAGATAAAGTTATAGGTCTGAGTAGTAGCTTGGCTTCTTAGGGCTGAAGTGAACTAAGTTTTTTGGTTACTTTCTCAGTACTAGGGTGTGGAATTTTCCTTCAGCCTCAAGAAATGCTTGTAATAATGCATTATTTCCCCCACAGGGTTTTCTGGCTAAGGATTTACAAGCCGAAGCTCTCTGTAAACTTGATAGGAGAGTAAAGGGCACAATTGAGCAGTTTATGAGGATCTTGGAGGAGATTGACACAATGGTAAGTAAATTTTCAGCTCAGAAGATCTAGTTCCTTATGACAGTATTTCAGTCAGTTTCACTCAGTAACATATGCCTGTTGCCTGAGCAAACCCATCACTTGAGTATGTCATGCTGGGTCCTAGCTGAATACACAGACACTAAGATGGTTCCTGATCTCTAGGCATTCATAGTCCACCAACCTAGGGTTTTTGTCACATACTAATGGATGCTTTCAACATTTGTAGTCATGAAGGTAGGAAGTAGACCATAATTTCATGTTCAAAGAAACACAAGATCATTTTACTTAGATAATTGGTTATTCCTCTACACTCATTTTCTTTGTAGAATTCAACCAGAATTCTTGTGTGACTATTGAATCATAGACCCTGGATTCTCTTTTGCAAATGGCAGTAATGATATCTCTAACCTGATGCCTGATGCTTCATTCTTGAGGGTGAAGTGCTTTGGGTTTGGGCTTCTATGGAATGGGGCATGGTGGTTAAAAAAAAAAATGGGGAAGTACTTTTCCTGGCATGGTAAGCTCATGATCTGGCCAGGACATAATATCCATACCTAGGAAACAGCAGGAAAAAAAACCACCAAAAAACAAAGTCTGTGTTCTGGAGTAGTTTTATGGTTCAGATATGGAGAACAGATGCTTTTATAGGGATGAAAGCTATGAAAATGTCCATGTTGGACCCAGACCTGGAGAAATGATTCCTGAAAATGACTGTCATATTCATATTGGTGACCTATGATTTGCTTGGTGTATGGAATATGTTTTCAAAGTGCATCTTCTGTTTATCACTAAAGATTATGTGTCAACTTTTTCTTCCATAGATCCTACCAGAAAATTTTAAAGACAGTAGGTTAAAAAGGAAAGGCTTGGTGAAAAAGGTTCAGGTGAGTTGTGTAGTAGCATACCACAAACTATAATATTATTAATGTACTGGTGTGTGTTTATCTGTTCAAAGTAGAGTAGTGTAGAAATATGATCATTAGCATAGCCTAGCTTTTTTGTTACTCCTTATCTGAATTAACCCAGAGTATCAGAGAAGAGCCCATTTCATTTCTCTCTATTAGAATTTAATCTATCTAGGAAAGACATTTATTGGAGAGCAGCTAGGGTTAGAACATTACACAGTTCTAGAAGGCTTAGTTCGTATGTGTAGTGCCACCTTCATTTGAGTAGTAGCACAGTCCTAGCTATGAGGCAAGGTGCCACTATCTGTACTACCTTTTAGGGAGTTGTAAGCCTAGGGACTGGTCAGAAACTCAAGGGGCTGGGAAGGTGGCTCAGTGGTAGAGTGCTTGCCTTGCATGCATGAAGTCCTGGGTTCAATTCCTCAGCACTACATAAGTAGAAAAAGCCGGAAGTGGCACTATGGTTCAAGTGGCAGAGCACTAACCTTGAGCTGAAGAGCTGAGGGATAGTGCCTAGGCCCAGAATTCAGGCTCCACAACCAATAATAAAAAGAAAAAAGAAACTCCAGCCTCATGCTTCCTTTTTACTTGTCCCCTTATGTTGGAGCCCAGGCTGGGTGCCCATTTCCATCTATGTACAGTTTACCACAATCAGCAAAGCTTATGTGGGCAGTGATTTACTAGCCCTTGGATAGCTCTCACTGCCTTGTGTGTATCTTTTAGGCATTCCTAGCTGAGTGTGACACGGTGGAGCAGAACATCTGCCAGGAGACCGAACGGCTACAGTCTACAAACTTGGCCCTTGCTGAGTGAGGTACAGTGGAGAAAGGCTGTACTGTTCTGAATTGCAGCACCACCGCTCTGGAACAGAAGTTGCCTATTTTCTCCAGGGTTGCCAGAGTCATCTAGTCAATTGCCAATTTTCCTACTCCTACACGGGTTCTCAATGAAAATGTACTGTCTTTGCAATCTAAAGTAGAGTTGCTTGTGTGTTTTCTCATTTTGTGTCCGGGTGGCTGTACAATCCAGCAGCTGCCTTTTCTAGACTTGGCCTCCTCGCCCATGTTTTATCAGTTTTTTTGATAGGTGCTTTGTTTGGGTTGATGAGAAGTTTTGGGGTTTCTTTTGTTGCCAGTCCTGAGGCTTGAACTCAGGGCTTGTGCACTGTCCCTGAGCTTCTTTTGCACAAGGCTAGCACTTTACCACTTGAGCCATAGCTCAACTTTTTTTTAATAGTTTAGTGGAAATAAGAGTCTCACAGACTTTGCTGCCAGGGATATCTTCAAACTGTGATCCTCAGCTCTCAGCCTCCTGAGTAGCTAGGGTTACAAGTGTGAGCCACCAGCATCCAGCTTGATGAGAGTTCTTGTCTTGAAATAGTTACCAGGCTTTCAAGGCATCCTAGTCTCAGCATGTAAGAGGGGCTTTCTTGACCTGGTAATCCCAGAGTCCCAGGACTGTTAGTAGGTTGCATCCAATTTGGAAAGTTGGGTTTGTCACATAGGCAATCCACAGTCCTTTGTTGTGAGGTTTTACAGAACATCTGACTGGACTGATGACTGAAACACCCTGTCCTCACATCCCAGTGTCCCTTGCTTAGCCACAAGTCTTTGAGATATCTTCCTCTCAGGCTATTCCTGAGGGAAAGCCTTGTCCATGTAAAAAATCTTCAGAATGTCAAGAGAGTAGTGCCTACTGAGTCTCTGCTTGATACCAGTTCAGAACAATGAGTAGGAAGGGCAAAGAGGAGAAGCCAGAATGAGTAAAGTAGATAGAGATTAAGTCAACCAGAAACTTCTCAAGAGTGCCATCATCCTTCAAGGGTGTTTAATTCTTTTGTGATCAATGCTTCCTTTGTGGCTGTTCCTGTCCATATGTGTACTTACTCCCACTGCAATAAAATCAGTTTGTGTGTCCATCATTGGTCAGAAGAGTGTTTCGGTTTCTCCCCTCTTGTTAACAACAATTTTTTTTGTTTTCAGTACTGAAAATTCAACCCAGGCCCTTGCAAATACTCTACCACTTGAGTCATCCTCTCTCCTGTCTTTCTTTTTTCTTTTTTTTTTTTGGGGGGGGGCTGGTGGTGGTGGTCAGGATCTTGCTATGTAGCCCAGACAGGCTGCATAGCAAGCCTTGAGAACTTGCCTCAATTTCCTGAGTACTGGGACTATGGGAAGACATTGCTCTTCCCCTCTAACAGCAATATCCATTGTGTGTGTGTGTAAGAGAGGGAGAGAGAGCTGAGTGGCTTATGCCTGTAATCCCAGCTACTCAGGAGGCTGAGATCTGAGGATCATGGTTCAAAGCCAGCCTGGGCAGGAAAGTCTTGTGAGACTCTTATCTCTAATAAACCCCTAGAAAACCGGAAGTGGCTCTGTGGCTCAAGTGGTAGAGCACTCCCCTTGAGCTGAAGAGTGCAGGGATAGTGCTCAAGCCCAGAGTTCAAGCCCCACAACTGACCAAAGAAAGAGAAGAGAGAGAGAGAGGAGGGAGAGACAGCAGGATGTCAAGTTTCTGCCATGTAACTTTGGAAAGGTCATGGGCAGCTGGGTTTTCATAGTCAATCCCTATCACTATTCAACTGCTATCCTGGGATCTCAACCCTCTGGGGAGCTAGGATTACAGGTGTGAGCTCCCAGTGCCTGGCTTAATCTGTGATTTCTTAAAGGCTGAATGGAAGTCTGTAAAGGAGCAGCTATTGAGGAGATGCTTGGCTGATCTGTACCACTTGGGTGGAAGAAGGGCTTTCCGCTTGGGAGGCTTTTAGATGCTAATATTTATTTTTCCCTTCATACAATAAGGGAACTTAGTCTAACTCAAAAGATTTTATTTCTTGGTCTTCTTGCTCTCACATGGCTAAGAAATGATACTTTAGTTACTATGAATTTTTTGGGTTTTTTTTGGTCAGTTGTGGGGCCTGAACTCTGGGCTCTTCAGCTGTAGACTAGCACTCTACCTCTTGAGCCTCAGCCCTACTTCCGGCTTTTTCTGCTTATGTGGTGCTGAGGAATGGAACCCAGGGCTCCATGCATGAAGGTAATCACTCTACCACTGAGCCACCTTCCCAGCCCTAGTGATGTTAACAGAGTATGGGACTCTTTAGAGTCAGGTGGTGTACCCTTCCCTGGCCTCAGGCATGAGGGCTGGTGTTGGAGCCACTGCCCAACTAATGAGGATGGCAGAGTTAAAACTTAGAGCCTGTTTTTTTTCTTGTTTCCTGGAGTTCATTTCAATAAATATTATTTATTTATTTTGTCGGCCTGAACTCTGGGCCTGGGTGCTGTCCCTCAGCTCTTCAGCTCAAAGCAAGTGCTCTACCACTTGAGCCACAGCACCACTTCTGGTTTTCTGGTGGTTTATTGGAGATAAGAATCTCACAGACTTTCCTGCCCAGGCTTTGAACTGTGATCCTCAGATCTCAGCCTCCTGAGTAGCTAGGGTTACAGATGGTGCCCAGCTAAATATTTTATATGATCAGTTGTGCAAGGGCATTGTTCCTTTGTGTTCCTTTCCTAAAAGTATTGGAGCATCATTTTGCATAGTTTGCTTTCCTCTCAGGTGTTACATATTTTCCCCTTCCCCTCCTCCCCCTGCCCTGCTTCCTGGTATTAGCACTTGAACTCAGGACCTCATGCTCTCTTGCTTGGCTTTTTTTTTTTTTTCCTGATGGTGGAACTTAAGACCTGGGTGCTGTCCTGAGCTCTTTTGCTCAATGCTTACATTCTACCACTTTGAACCACAGCTCTACTTCCAGTTTTCTGGAGATAAAGAGTCTCAATGACTTTCCTACCTGGGCTGGTTTTGAATTGTGATCCTCAGATCTCAGTAGCTAGAGTGGCTAGAGCAACTAGTGCCTAGCTGATTTTTTTTTATACCCTTTAAAAAGTTCTTGTTGTTATAAAGGTATTATACAGAGGAGTAACAGTTACACAAGTCAGGTAAAGAGTACCTTCCTTCTTTCCTTCCTTCCTTTCTTTCTTTCTTTCTTTCTCTCTCTCTGTCTCTCTCCTCTCTCTCTCTCTCTCTCTCTTTCTTTTTTTTTGCCACTCCTGGAGCTTTAACTCTGGGCCTGGGCACTGTCCCTGAGCTGCTTTTAGCTCAAGGTTAGTGCTCTCCCACTTGAGCCACAGCGCCACTTGCGGCTTTTTTTTTTTTTTGAGTAGTTTATTGGAGGTAAGAGTCTCACAGTTTCCTTCCTGGGCTGGCTTTAAACCGTGATCCTCATATTTCAGCCTCCTGAGTATCTAGGATTACAGGTGTGAGCCACCAGCATCCAGTTTAGAGTACACTTCTTTTTGGACAATGCCACTCTCACTTGGCTTTTTTTGCTCACCCTTAGTGCTATACCACTTGAACCACACATCTGTTCCTGCTTTGTGTTAGATATTTGGAAATGAGTCTTGGGATTTGTCTACCCAAGCTGGCTCTGAATCAGAATTATCAGCTCTCAGCCTCCTGAGTAGCTATGACTACAAGTGTGAGCTCTTCACTTTCTATTTTTACCCCCACAGAGTAGAAAATCTTGTCTGTATGAAACTGCTTGACAAGGGCCCTCTGCATATTCCTTTTCCTTGCTACCATTATCAGGAGGCTCCCTCTGATGGTTTTTACCCAAGAAGAGATAATTGTATAACATCAATGATTTTTGTGGAATTTCTGGTCATTGGGTATATGTATGTATGCTGTGTGTACCTGGGGTTGTGTCTAATGCCAGCCAGTCAGAGTAGATGTCCTAAAGTACAGAAGTGGGACTAGAAATCCTGCTATGCCAGAATTTAACCCTAGACACTGGGAGATCCATGAGTTAATCTCGGTGGTGATAATCTGGGTGGCCTAAGGTACAGGAGGCAATTCAGAGGGCTTGGAGAAGTGATTAGTTGTCAATGTTTATTAAAGACCTCGTTTGAAGCAGGGTGCAATAGTATACACCTGTAATTTCAGCACTTAAAAGGCTGAAACAGTTCACGACTAGCCTGAACTACCTAATGAGACCCTGTCTCAAACAAGCAAGCAAAATCAACTAGTTTGATATAACAATAGTTCCTTTCACATACTACCTGAACCATACATCCAGTAACAGCAGAGGATGATTTTACCTACATGCTTGGCCTAACAGTTCTCTCTCTGGCAAGCAGAAGCACTGGGCAGTGTCCTGAAGCCAGAGGCTGGTCTCTTGAGCAGACAGAAGGTAATTGGGACTTCTAAGGGGCTATATGACAAGGTTGAGTATACAAGGTATGGAGAGGAACTGGACATGAGATTCAGAGCAGGAAGAACAGTGCAAGATTTAGTCTACCTCTTATTGTAACCACCCCTCAAGAGTCCCCAAAGACACTGGCTCACTTCAGTTGGGCTGCATGTTTTATTTCATGTCACATCCTCTTCTTGCCTGCTAGTGTTCTCCAGTCTGGAACTTAATAGCTCGAAATGCTGCTTTGGAGTCAGCATTTGCCATCTTTCAAGATCTGGATGTCCTTTTTGGTTTCCCTAGGATTACAACAGACAAGAATGAGGCCATCTCCATGGAAATTGTCAAGGCCTGTTCAGTACTCCCGGACACTGCCCTGAGCCGCTTCCCCCCAGTGTACAGATGCAAGATAGATCCCAGGGGTCCAAGCACATCCTTCTATAACTTTGTCCCACACACCTCCCCCTCTTGACTACCTGGGATTTCGACCTACTATATGCTGATAGCTTCCCGAAATACCTCTAGCCCAGACCTTTGTCGTGTCTCTTCCTGCCCATTGCATGTCTCTACCAGGATCTGAGGACATACTGTTCACAGACATCATTGTCCCCTAAAATTGCTATACCGATACTCCATAATGCCCATCTCAGTTTCCCCACATGTTAGAAACCAGTGTGTTAAATGCCAGGTGTGATGCCTATAATTCCAGTACTCAGGAATCCAAGGAGGGAGGATCACTTGAGCCTAGTAGTTTAAAAGACCAGTGTTTACAACATAGCAAGACTCTGTCTCCAAAAAAAAAAAAAAAGTATATGTTTCTTTCTCCTCCCAAGCCTTCATATCCAATCACATACCTAACCTCAAATGTATCTCTTATCCATGAGTCTTTTAATTTTCATGACTTCTTTTTTCTAATCTTAGGACCATGTCCTCATATTTCCTCCAATACAAACTTTTCTATTGGATTTCCTTTTCCATGATCTCATCTAGTTCTCAGGCTGACTCTGAGGATTTTTTTTTAATGTGTGTGCTGCTGCTGTTGTTTTTCTCTTGGTAAAGAAACTGACCAAGAAAGTAATCTGATATACCAAGTTCCTGATTACCTCATTAATTGTCTTTTCTCCAGTTTCCCTTTTAACTTTACACATATCCAACTTCCTACTAGACCTAGACCTTTCCATACTCTTCTACTTGGAATGATCATCTTTTTCTTTTCTGTGTGTGTGTGTGTTTGTGTGTGTTTGTGTGTGTGTGTGTGTGTGTGTGTGTGTAAGATAGAGAATGTGTGAGTGTGTGAGTCATGGGGCCTGAACTCTGGGCCTGGGTGCTGTCCCTGAGCTCTTCAGCCCAAAGTTAGCACTCTACCACTTGAGCCACAGTGCCACTTCTGGTTTTCTGGTGGTTAGTTGGAAATAAGAGTCTCACAGACTTTCCTTCCCCAAGCTGGCTTTAAACCCCAATCCTCAGATCTCAGCCTCCTGAGTTGCTAGGATTACAGGCGTGAACTACCAACGCCCTGCCTCTTCCTTTCTTTTCAAGTTAATTTCTACTTATCGATTAGGGCTGAACTCAGGTGTTTCCTTCCCCAGGCAGTCTCTCCTGTCCCTGTCTCTGCTGTTCCATGGTACCCTGTGTTCTGTCTGAGCCTTGAGCATTCTGTGCCCGATTGACCATCATCAGCCTGGTTTCATTAGGCCAGCAATGCTGACTCACTATGTTCTATTCTGTCTTCTTCCCAGCACTTAGTAAACACTCACTAAATAGTTATTGGTTAGAGGGTAAAAAATGAGGTCACCTAGGGGGCAGAACAAGGAAAAGAACTAAAGGTCTCTGGGCCATCCACCCCTACACCCACCATCTCTGGCTTTCTGCTTAATACAATGTGCCATCTTTGAATTTCACTTGTACTCATTTGTTTAGGGACAAATGTCAGGATTCTTCCTAGGTCAAGTGTGTATGAAGAAAGAAGTGCAGGAACATCTGTGAGACTGTTATCTCCAATAAACCACCAGAAAACCGGAAGTGGTGCTGTGGCTCAAGTGGTAGAGCTCAAGTGGTAGAGCTGAAGAGCTCAGGGACAGTGTCCAGCCCAGAGTTCAAGCCCCATGACCAACAACAAAAAAAGAAGTGATCAAGTCCAGCTCCTTTCAGACCTGCATGTACCAAAGATGGTGCCCAACCATGCGAGCTGGGTTGGGAGGGAACACTTACATCCGGGTTATGCAGAGTTGGCATTCATTGTTGTATGTGACCCCATCAGTGCCACAGACCGGGTTAGGTGTCTGCTCACAATGTGGGAGCTCTGCCATGTGCTCACAAATGGGCTATGGAAAAGGAGAGAAGAGGGAGGGAACTCAGGGATGCAGGGCCAGAGCTTAGACCTTCATTGGCTTGGTGTGAAAGGGTTTCAGGCCATGGTTGAGGATCAAGGCTAAGAGGGGAAGAGGGTCTTGGAACTAGGGATAGGGTGCAGGAGGCAGTGTGTAGCAGTCAAAGCCCTCTCTAGAGATTATATTGTTCTCACATAGGATTAATTGAAAGAACGTATGTGAAGCATTTGACTGTGGCATCAAGTTAAATGGAACTGGATCAATGGATGGATGGGAAAAGGCTGAGGATATTGCATGGGAAAATGGCTTTGAGACTTCATTCACCTATTTGAAGTGGCTCATTGAAGGTTCCAAGGATGCCAGCACTATTGCCTTGGAATCATTGGAGACATCAGATCCAGGGTCAAGGTAGAATCAGGGTTTGGAATGAAGAAATGAACAATAAGCTGTGGTTGGGGCTGGCTAACACCCTGCGGGGACTTTGCAGGATTCTACCAGGATCACCTTGACCTGAACCTGTGGGCTGTCTGAACTATGCAAATTAGAGAAGGCACCCTGTTCCTGCCCAGCTTGGTGGACAGAGCCCATTAAGGAAAGGGTCCTTAGAGACCAGGTTGGAGCAGATTGTGTGGGCTTTGAGGCCAGACACAGACAGGTCTTTGTCAAGGGGACTATGCCTGCTCTTCCTGGAGTGGGGTATTCTGGGGAAACACAGGCTTAGGAGACCACCCTGGACAGCTTGAGATCATTGAAGGTGACAGAAGGCATGTGGAGAAGAGTAAGGCTAGTGTTCCAGCCTGAGTGAGAAGACTCGGCTCTGCAGAGAGGCGTTACCTTACCATTCTGGAGAAAATGGTCTTTCTTGCAGACACTGGCACTTCTGCAGGACAAAAAGGAAACAAGTGATGTCAACTCTAGATTCTAGTTCCTAGGTCCAAGGGCTGTTTCTTTTTCCTTCTCTGGGGGACTTTCTCCCTTTCCCCAGGGATACTACCCAATCTGGAATTCCTCAAGGAAAGCTAATGAATCACCAGATGATGGGGCTGCCAGAAGACTGATGTCATGTTGGGTTACATGAGTAGAGACAGAAAGTCTAGAATTAGGGAGATGATATTCCAGCCTGATTCTCATTAGTCAGATCTCACTGGAATTGTTGTGTCTTATAAAATGTTAACATAGGTAATAATCCAGCAGATAACCACATACTAGGCATTGAGAATACATTTGTGTGTGTGTGTGTGTGTGTATGGCACACACATGTGCACGTTTGTGCATGCACGTGCACATGCCAGCATTGAAGCTTAAACTCAGGGTCCATAGCACTGTCCCTTAGCTTTTTTCTCAAGGCTTGTGCTTTACTACTTAAGCCATAACTCCACTTTCAGTTCTTAATCCTAGATAAGTGTAGTATCATGAACATTCCTGCCTGGGCTGGCTTCAAGCCTGGATCCTCAATCTCAGCCTTCTGAGTAGCTAGGTTTACAGACCTGAATCACCAACACTTGCCTGAGAATGCATGTTTTCTCTGTGTGTGTGTGTGTGTGTGTGTGTATGGTCATGCGTGCATGTGTGTGCGCGCTGGTCCCAGGGATTGAACTCTGGGCCTGGACATTGACCTTGAGCTTTTGTGTTCAAAGCTAGTGCTCTACCACTTGAGCTACAGCTCGACATCCAACTTTTTGGTGCTTTATTGGAGAAAAGAGTCTCACAGACTTTCCTGCCCAGGCTGGCTTTGAACCATTATCCTCAGAGCTCTCAGCCTCCCAAGTAGCTAGGATTACAGGCGTGATCCATTGGTGCCTGTTGAGAATACATGTTTTGAACTATTCTTTATACCTCTTACTACCCTGTAACAGAGATAAAAAAAGGAGATAGCGCAGGCTGTGGTTTGTTACCTACTCCTGCGGAGGCAGGAGTGTTGGCTGCTCCTTAATAGCAACCCCCTTCCTAGGAATTGGCCAACATTGCATTCCATACCTAGGGCCAACCCACTGTCACTCTGATGTGACTTCAAAGGCACAGCCCTCTTGTCTATTTGGAACAGTAGAGGAACCACCCAATGCCACAGCAGCCTGTGCAGGTCATCTGACACTTGAGCTACACTGTATCAGTCAACGTCCTTTACCCCTTAGGGGTGTTACTCCCAGGCATACACCCCAGTAAACTGCCAGCAGATCTCAATGGGCTGTTTCCTGGGACACTTGACCTACCAAAGCTCAAAGAGATCAAGTAGCACTTGGTTCAAGTAGAGCTAGGATTTGCACACAGGTCTCTCAAGAGCCTGGTTCTTTCTACACAACAATTACAGCCCTTAAACCTTGGCTGAGTGCCTACAGGATATACACTGTAAGCATGGAGGGAACTGGAATCACATCTAAGGGGCAAGGTGGGAGAAGGTAAGTATGTACGTTCTTGTGTATATATGTGTTGGAGAAGGGCAGAATGTTTTGTGTGGTTTATTTTTGTCATCCCTCCCTCCCTCGCTCCCTCCCTCCCTCCCATTCTTCCTTCCTTCTTTCCTTCCTTTCTTTTCTTTCCTTCTTTCCTTCCTTTTTTCTTTTTTGTTGGTGGTGGTCAAGGGGCTTGAACTCAGGGCCTGGGCACTGCCTCTGACTCTTTTACTTAAAGCTAGAGCTCTATCATTTTGCACCATAGTGCCATTTCTGGTTTGTTGGTGATTAATTGGAGATAAGAGTCTCACAGACTTTGCTGCCTGGTCTGGCTTTGAACTGCAATCCTCAGACCTCAGCTTCCTGAGCCACCAGTGAGCCTTCAGTGCCTGGTACTTCCTGTGGCTTCTAAAGGTGGTCTGGGGTCTGAGGGGGAGAGGGGCTGCTCTTAACCCTCACAGAGAAGAATCCATCTATGCATATTGTGAAGGGAGTTGGATTTGGATTCCATGTGAAGCAGAATTTTTCTCTCAGTAGCAGCTACATGATCCCAAAGGAGACTATCTCCAGAAGTAGAGTTCTCCATCACTGGAGTTGTATAAGGCGGTGTAATTGTCCCTTTTCTTGCAGGTGTTATTACAAGAGATTTCTAAGAGAAGGGAGCTGGGTATCACCTCTGATGTGCTGTGTAAGCCTGGCAGTGTGGGGCATCGTATGTCAGTCTAGCCTTGTCAGTGTTCTGCACAAATTGTTCCACATCATAATTTCCCAAACTGACAACACAAATGTACTTCCACAGGACAGTGAAAAACTGTGACACTTTCCTACAATGGGGCAGTACTTGGCAATAAAGACAACACAACTGAATCTCAAAAACATTTTGCTGAGTGAAGGAAAACAGACACAAAAGACTACATACAGCAGGATTCTGCTTGTATGAAATTTTAGCACAGACCAACGAACCTGTGGTAGAAAAAATCTAGAGCAGCGGTTGCCTCTGGGCACTGAGCTAGGCTCTGAGGACTGCTTGACTGCCTCTGAGTAGAGGGTGAGGCCAAGACAGACTGGTGTAAGGAAAATTTCTGGGGTAGTGGAAAGAATTTGTTTGTTTTGAGGCAAGGTCTTACTAGGTAGCTCAGGATGTCCTTGAACTTGCTATGTATCCCAGGCTGACCTCAAATACTCCATCCTCCTCCATGGCCTCCCAAGTACTAGGATTACAGGTTTGTATCTCCATACCTGGCTCTATTCTGCTGTGTGTGTGTGTGTGTGTGTGTGTGTGTGTGTGTGTGTGTGTGAATTTGTTTTTGTTGGGGTTTAGGACATAGGATAAGAAATGTCACCTTGGGGCATACTTTCTCCCAAAAAATATTTGTTCTAATCCTGGTGTGTGTGTGGGGGGGGGGGCCTGGGTCTTGAACTCAGGGCCTGGGTACTGCCCTTGAGCTTTTGTGCTCAAGGCTACCAGCACTCTGCCACCTAATCCATCAGCTGTGGCTTAAGTGGCAGAGTGCTGGTAGCCTTGATCTACCAGCTCAAGGAGTCTCACAGACTTCCCTTCCTAGGCTGAGTTTGACCTGTGATCCTCAGATTTCAGCCTACTGAGTAGCTAGGGTTACAGGTATCAGCTACCAGTGCCCAGCTTCCTTGGCTCACTTTTCAGCTCGCTGTTTCACTGTTCCCATTTCTATTGAATCATACCTTCCTTTCAAGTCTCAGAAGCCTCTTTGTTGAACCCCACCCCCACCAGTTTCCTGAGCAGAGTGACATAGCTTCAGGAAACCATGTACTGCCCACCCACTAGTCATTGGTGTCTCAGCCTCCACATTTCAATAAGGTCCCTGCCCCACCGTGAGCATTCAGGAACTAATCATTGCAGTTCATTGGGGGAAGACAGAGTTCAGAACCTGATTCTGAACTACCCTATATTGTGGGTTTCTTCCTGGAGTCTCAGGCTTCTTTGATTCAAGGTTCCCCCTCCTTGCTCCTTCCAGGTAGGAGTCTGAAATATGTACAAGGACCTTCTTGAAGGCAGGTTACTGTTTCCAACTGAAGAACTGCTCAGGGAATGGGGGGCCAGGCTGAGAATAGCCTGACTGACCAGAGCTCTGAGACCCATCCCTCATTGTTCCAGCCCCTTCCCCATCTGTGACCTCCCCCCCCCCAACAGAAATGAATAAGTGTCCTGAGGTCGATCAGTGGCCCTGGGGGCCCAGGGTCCTGCCGGATATTTCTTTATAACATCATAGCTTTTGTCTAGTGGTCCCAACTGGTCACTCTTCTTCCTTATTCAATTTATTCTTAATAAACCAACTAGAGTGATATTTTTTCTTTTTCTTTTAAAAAAATTGTTCATTTGTCCTAGTGCTAGGGCTTGAACTCAGGACCTGGGTGTTGTCCCTTAGTGTGTTTTTGCTTAAGGTTAGTACTTTACCACTTGAACCACACAGCTCCATTCTGGCTTTTTAGAGGTTAATTGGAGATGAGTCTTAAGGACTTTCCTACTTTGGTTGACTTTGAATCTCCATCCTCAGATCTCAGCCTCTTGACTAGTTAGGATTACAGATGTAAGCCACGGACGCTCCACTTAGAGCAATTCTTTTTCTTTTTCTTTCTTTCTTTTTTTTTTTTTTGTCAGTTGTGGGGCTTGAACTCTGGGCCTGGGTGCTATTCCTTGAGCTCTTCAGCTCAAGGTGAATGTAGAGCAATTCTTTAAAGGTATAACTCTACTCAAAACTCTTTAATACACTTCATTCAGAGAAAAGTCAAGCCCTCATACTAACCCACAGGCCTTACCCAGTATAAATTTCAGTGGCTCCTCTCCTCTCTCCTACCGTCTTTCCCCATGCCCTCCTCTTTACCCACACTGACCTTGGCAGTACCTCAAATACTCCAGGCATGCTTCTACCTCATGGCCTTTGAACTGCCTGTTCCCTTCTGCCTGGATTCCTCTTCTCCCAAGTATCTACATGCCTCACTTCTTTGCCTCCTTCAAACTGTACTCAAACATCAGCTTCTCAAGAGTGGTCCTCCTTGATTTGAAACTGCAGTCTTCCCAGTCTCCATGAACTAGTCCTCTGATTTTCCTTAGCCTTTGTTACTAATTTTATTCTAACATTGTTTAGCATACATGGAACTTATTTTCTTTATTGTCTGTTCTCCTTCTTCTCTACCCAATGGTGGTTAAGCTCTGCTTTTACTGTTTTGGTCACCACTGTGTTAAGAGTCTAGAACAATGCCTGACACAGAAGCTGTGAGATTATCAAGGTGCTCCAGGCCCAGGGCAGACCCACCCTTGATATATTTGTTTAGTCACACAAAAGGGTGACTATCCTGCATCCCAAACCATAGCTTGTCACAGTGGACAAGAGCTCAATCACCCCAGGCCAGATCTCCTCTAGCACCTGCCACCCCACAGCCAGCATGCTTACCTGTCTTCCTGAGGCCCGAGACCCACCTGTTCCTTCTGCCTCCTAAACCTCCAGCCCAG